CCCCAGAGTTTCCAGGGTCTGTGGTCCCCCTAGGAGATGGAGATCACGCTGAGCTCTGCAATGCAGTCAGAAGGGTGTATTCCTCTCCCAGGGAGGGAGAACTTGCCTGGTGATGTGGGAGTGTTTGCGCTCTGATGCTGGCTAAGTGGGGGAGGATTTACTGCAGATTCCTAGTGGTAGCGGGTTACAGCGCGTGATGTGTATCCTGCTAGTGTTTCTGCCGGTGATGGACTAAGCGTGGTAAGGCTGCATTGGGGTTTGGGTTAAAAATGAACCGTTTTATTCTTTAATGGCTGTGGTGGGGCTTTTTGGATCATACGGGCGTCTGTGTTTCTGGAACGTTGAGCTGTGTCCTGTGAAAGTAGCACCTTTCTGTGGACTGCTTCTCAGCAAGGAACGCCCAGACCGATTTATCCCATCCACCCCTATGAGGTCCTGGCTGCAGCTGGAATGCCAGCTTTTGCTGAATGAGGTGGGGTCAGCATTTGTGAAAGCCCACGGGCAAATCCTGCATCCTCTTTTTCCTCCTCCTCCTGTTCCCCTCCCATCCACTACATGTGGACCATTAAGAAAAGATCAGTTCCCACTTGCGCTCTCTCCAGTATGGGCAAAGGGGAGGATGAGATAGAAGGGATGGAATCAATGTTCTCCCCCCCTGGCCTGCATCCATGTGTGGAATAAATTTAGTTGCACGCACTGAGGCATATGTGGATGTGCACCACCAGTAAAAACATGCTGCTGGCTGTGGACGCTCTGCCAATCAGCTGGGTAGCATTTGAAACTCTCCGGGCGGCCGTCCAAGGGCTCATCTTTCAGGGAACATTGGATGGGATCCGTACCCCATACGCTCAGGTGGGCCCAGGGGGAATCGGGTTCTATCCACTATAGCTTCCCGTTCCAGAAGCATCAGAAGCCTGCCTTATAAACTCTATACGAAAAATCCATCTCTGTGGGGAAAATCTTGCTTTAGAACTGCCAAGCCCACAGAATATTGAGGCGGGGACTTCCAAGATTATATTGTGGCGTTACGATTACAGAGTCATGGAGATCAGGCTCTCCCTAAAAACATCGCCATGCATAGCGTTAGTCAGCCTGTTTCACTTCCCAGAAGATCTCTCTGCAGCCGCCAGTCTAAAATTAAAGTTTCCTTCTTTGAATAGCTTGTTGTAATACATTGAGATAATTTCTTAATGCAGAAAATGGTCTTTTAAATGACTGATGTCTTGCACTGACAAGCAAGAAGTTATCAGAGCTGGAGGCTCTTTAATGAAACCTTGAATATTCCACTCTATTGTTAAAATGTCTTGAGCAGTAACTTTGATGAACAGTGGTTGGGAGTTTTACTGGTAAATCATGTAAACTAGCATTAACGCAATCGAACTGGCTCTCGGTCATTTGCAGAATGCCATCAGCGTTCAGGTTTGCTTCATTTGTCCTTTAATAGGTATGTTTGTGAAATGTCGCTAAAATCTATTGTGAGATGTGAAGCTAGTATTGTAAACAGTACTTCATGTCAGAAGCTGGAAAGAACTTCTCTGGTGCAGCTGCAAAGCAGAAAAGCAAACTCTTGGGTGCGGTTCCATCGCTTTGGTTTTTTGTGTGTTTTCCTTGTGAAGAAAATGTTTGAACATTTATATGTCTGACTGGAGGATAAATACTTGAACACATTTGAATTTTGTCTTTCAGGTTAAAGAACTCGTTCTTGACAACTGTAGGTCAAATGAAGGCAAAATTGAAGGACTCACAGATGAGTTTGAAGAGCTGGAATTCTTAAGTACAATCAACGTAGGCCTAAGCTCAGTTGCAAACTTACCAAAGTTAAACAAACTTAAGAAGGTAAATAAAGAAGTGCCATGTAGAGTATTTCTCTTTTTTTGAATATTTTTTTTCTTGTGTAAGAACTTCCTCCTAACCAGCTCAGTTGTGTTGTGATAAAGATTTCTTCTAAAACCTCCTGGGGTTTTTTTGTGTCTTAACTTCTAGCTCGAACTAAGCGATAACAGAATCTCAGGCGGACTGGAAGTATTGGCAGAAAAGTGTCCAAACCTCACGCATCTAAACCTAAGCGGCAACAAAATAAAAGACCTCAGTACAATAGAACCTCTGGTGAGTTAATGCAACAGCAAAAAGTGCTTTAAGCCCCTTTAGATGGATGTAATGGGTCTTGCTAGGTCTAAACGCACAGGCTTCGTAGGTGAGTGTGGTTGTGAGCCTACTCACAGGGAAAAGCTTGTGGTGTTGGGTACTCAGACTCCATGGGCCTGGGGAAGATTGAGGCTGCTGCAATCGATTTTCCAGGGTTCAGTTTAGTGGGTCTAGTTAAGACCTGCTAAATCAAACTCAGAGGGTGCCCTTGTTGGTGCTCCTGCTCCTGCAAGGAGTAAGGGAAGCCGACAGGAGCATTTGCTCCCATCAGCCTCCCGTTGTGGGGACAGCAGGGAAACTCGAATCAAGGTACGTCGACTCCGGCTACGTAGTTAATATAGCGAGAGTTGTGTGTCTTGATTTGACCTTCCCCTTTAGTGTAGACTTGGCCTGAGGCAGGCAATGATACATTGGGCTGGGTGTGTGCAATAAAGCCTCCCTCTAGTGGCCAGTCCTCATCAGATAGTGAGTACACGTCCATAGAGGGAGGTGAGGCAGCGGCAGAAGGGGAGGAGATGGGTAGGGTTTAGGGGGATTTGTAGTGGGATATGGGGTCCTTAGAGCAGCTCTGCTACAGTCAGTAGAAACCTCAGGTTGCTCTCTGGTGGCTGTACGCTGGGCTATGCCATAAGTTGTGTTGGTTGGCTCAGTCCGGTGCCTAGTGGACTTTTTTTGGCACCCCAGTCCTCTTCCCGTTTGTGTTTAATCCTAATTAGCACACCTGCTCCTTAAAGAACACCCACGTTCTGGAAAGGGCCAAAGTTACCTTGTGCTACGGTCTCCGTGCCAAAAATGATGCCATCGATCCACGGGAGAGCGGATGTGGGAGGGAGAGGGGTAAAATGGGGGGGATAAGCCATGGAATGTGCCCCTCAGCCCCAGCTCTCCAATGAACAAAATTTTGCTGATGTCCCCCATTTGGAAATCTGTGGGCCGTTCCCATCTCTTCCATGTCCTGCGCTGCCCCAGGGGTATATCCAGCCTCGCTCTGCCAGCCTAATCTTATAACGACCCCCCTCTTTTCCTGTTGGACCCCTTCATAGCTCTTGTTTTCATGGCACTGCAACGGTTTCAGAACACAGCCCCGGTGCCCTTCACCTCATGCCCTTATAATACCGTTTGGCACGATGTCTAGGAATCCTGCTGTAAAATCCGGGGCCGTGGCAGGCTCTCACCAAGCCTTCGCTCTTCTTATCCCATTACTATCGTTCAATTCTCACGCGCTCCTGCCGATATCTGTCTCGTTTGCGCGTTAACGGGCAGCGCTTCAGTCTGTAAAGCACACTCCCAAGACGAGTCTCTGAGGGGGCCTCTGCTTTTTTTTTTCCCCTACTTCCAGAAAAAATTAGAAAACCTGAAGAGTTTAGATCTGTTCAATTGCGAGGTCACCAACTTGAACGACTACCGAGAAAATGTCTTCAAACTCCTCCCCCAACTCACATATCTCGACGGCTATGACCGGGATGACAAAGAGGCCCCAGATTCCGACGCAGAGGGCTACGTGGAGGGCCTGGATGATGAAGAGGAGGATGAAGACGGTATGTTACTGGCTCCATGTAGCGCGTTTGAGGTGGTAGCCAACTGATGTGCATGCTTCTCGCTCCTCCATAAGCAGCCCCAACCCCCAGTTCCCTGGCTTTTGTAGATCAGAAAGTTCCTCGGGTTCCTCCTTAGAGACTGAGGGAAAACTAGACTTGGCTAGCTCAGGCGGTACCCAATGCTTATCTTCAATCAGAGTACGGGGAGGTCTGGCCAGAGGGAGACCGAGACAAGCGTTCGGGCAGCAAATGGGAAGAGGCGAAACGGAGGGGAAGGCAACAGGAGGGAGACACTGATAAGAGAAGCCGAAAGCACATGCACCTTGCTCTCCGTCTTCCGAGCCTTTTACAGTGAGGCGGTAACAAGGCATTTTCCCCAGTTCCAGTGGAGGAAGCAGTGGGGAATGAAAAGTGGTGGGGAGAAGCTAACCACGCCCCACTGGTAAAGACTGAGGGGGCAGGCCCTCAGAAAGGAGGGAGGGTCAGAGACTGCGAGTGGAAGAAGGGAACAGAAGCCGAACAAGCACGTGAGGCTGAGGTGCTGGCTAATAGGACAGTGTAAGGCTAACTGTGACTGAAAGAGCTCAGGGGAGCCAGGAAGGCCCATGTTGACGTTTTCCGGGGGCCAGCATGGCCAGAGAAGCCGAGAGCGATTTCTGTTCACGTTTGGAAAGCTCACGTGCCCATTTTCCTGGGGGGTCGCGTACCATTCGGCTCCCCCCTCCCCCCCCGCAGTCCGAGGTACACAGTCAGTTGGGCGCGGGTCAGGCTGGGCTTGGGGAATTTTCTAGACTCTTCAAACCAAGCCGAAAAGCGAAGCGCACGGAACAGCTGGACTCGCGCTTCCTCCGTGGGTGCGGATTGTGTTGTGCTGGGTGAACTGGCGGGGGGCCCAGTGGAAACGCAGGCCCGAGTGGAAAGGCTTTCACTTGCGCCTCCAGAATTCATGCTGGGTGCTGGGTTAGTGCTACCGGGAGCCCCTTCACGTTGCTCTTGCAGGGACTGAACGGCCGCGGGGGGCGGGACTTTCTCCTCACCAGGGCAGGCCGAGGCTGCTACTCACAGCTCTTTTCCTCCCCGGATGTAAGGAGCAAGCGGGAGGGTAGAGTGTTTGGGTCAGGCTGTGATGCTGGGGAGCCTGCTGGCAGCATTACGGGAAGCTGCTGTAAATTAGAGCAGCCCCAAGTCTGCTCTGACCTATGCCCAGGTCTCCTATCCTCCCCCAACAGATCAGTATCTGGCAGGCGCCCCGGTGGTGTTAAGCCACAGTCGCACCGCCCTGTGCAGGATTCGCTCCGGTCTCCTACTTTGCGCCTGGAAAAGCAACAGGCTAGATTCTGCCTTCAAGCAGAACTTGTGCGCGTCTCTTTTCCATCAATAGGAAAGCAGGATTTGGCTGGTCGTGTTTGGAAACTAGGTTTCCTGTAGACAGTTAACTGAGTTGATAGTCTTGCTTGCCTGTGCAGAAGAGGAGTACGATGAAGATGCTCAAGTAGTAGAAGATGAAGAGGAGGATGAGGAGGAGGAGGAAGGAGAAGAGGAGGATGTGAGCGGGGAAGAGGAGGTAAGGATTCATGGCAGACCTTGAGTGGCAGGGAATATCTGCCGTGCAGGTATTTGGACCTGGCGCAGTGTAAACCACAGCACAGCTTTTGTGTTTTTAAGTGCACTTTTTTTCATCCATCTAAGAAGCCGTGAAAGTAAGTGGGGGCAGGTTTTGAAGAGTATCTGCCTGTGAGCCAGCTGCCCTCTAGTGACCATGGACAAATCATTCAACTTATTTGGATCAGGTTGAAAACAGATGTACCTTTCAGCAGCTCTGCCAGCACCAGCCCTGGAGCTAGCTGCTTGTCTCACGCAGCCCGTTCAAAGCTGGAGTCGAAGTTTCTTGTAAACCGTTGAGAAAAAGAACATGTCTCCAAAAGCAAATGCTGAAAAAGCGCACCCAGAATTGCACAATGCTACTCATTTAAGTCACACTCTTAGTCAGAGCATGTATTTGAGAATAAGATTGCTCTGAAAGTGGAAAACAGAAGGTGGGGGTGTTCGTCAGTGGCATGTATCTAAAAATAAAAAGGTGCCAATTTTTATAATACAGAGATTTGTTCCCTAAGTCTAACTTCAGAGAGATCGAATGCGTAAAACAGAGAACGCAGCAGGGTGTGGTTCCTGCAACGGACGTCTCTCTCCCCTTCTCCCCCCCTTCCTTCCCTCTTCTCCATCACCGTGGCTTCCCCTCCTTTGCTAAAGTATTAACAGAAGTGATGAGGTCCTGTGTTCCAAGTGTGTAACTCTGGAATGCTTCTAACGACCCTTGAGGCATGATTTACACTTGTGAGCTTAAAGTGCCACAGTGGCAGTGTGGTCACAGCACCAGCGCTGGAAGAGAGCTCTCTCAGTGCGCTAGGATAACCATCTCTGAGGGGGACTAGCTAACAGCGCAGGGCACCTGTTTACACTGGCGCTATACAGCGCTGTAACTTGCTGCGCTCAAGGGCGGGGAGGTCTTGTCACACCCTGAGCGAGAAAGTTGCGGTGCAGTAAAGTGGCCGTGCGGACAAGTCCTTGGTGTGGTGTTATGTTTGCCCAGCTAGGCCCTCACCTCGTTGAAGTGAGTGGAAGTTTTGCCCCTGACGTCACTGCACTCATGAGTTAAATGTTTGCGTTTCCGTATCCATGTGGCTTTTAAAACGAGGCAGTGGGAAGATTGGTTTCTTCTTTGAGAGGGGGGCAGAATTTTAAATGAAATTGGGTCATATGGCGACTCTTGAGTCCTGTTGTGAAGAGGCATCCAGAATCCAGGAAGGCATTTTAGAGAATCAACTTGCAGTCTTCTGCGGGAGTGGAGGGAAGATGCCTTTCCAGAATTTGCTCAATGTCAAGAAACTGTTGTTGAGTTGTGCTGATTGGGGAAGGTGTCGGGCACTGATCTTTTTGTGACTTTGTTTTCCCTCCCTGTAGGAAGATGAAGAAGGTTATAATGATGGTGAAGTAGATGATGAGGATGAAGAAGAAGAAGTCGGTATGGCAATAATGCAAACTTTAATACTGAACAAAAGTAGTAATGAACTCTTTTTCTAAAAGCAGAATTGCAAGTACCTAAAAGAGTGTTATAAAAAGGAGGAAGAAAAATTGTTCTCCTTGGAGTTTGATGACGGGACAAGAAGCAATGGGCTTAAATTGCAGCAAAGGTGGTTGAGGTTGGACATTAGGAAAAACTTCCTGACTATGAGGGTGGTTAAACACTGGAATAAGTTGCCTGGGGGAAGAGGGGGTGGAGGGGTTGTGGAATCACCATCTTCGGAGATATTTAAGAGCGAATTAGACAGGCATCTATCAGGGACGATCAGATGGTGCTTAGTCCAGCCGTGAGGGCAGGGGACTGGACTCAATGACCTCTCGAGGTCCCTTCCCTTTCTAGGATTCTGTGATGCTGTTGTGGGGCTAAGCCAGCTCTTCAGGTAGCAGTTTGTAGGAATTGCTTGTGTTTGTGGTCATGCTGTGACGCAACCCATGTTTATTTTGCAGATGAAGAAAGAGGGCAGAAGAGAAAACGAGAGCCTGAAGACGAGGGCGACGAAGATGATTAAACTGAATAACCTATTTTGAAAGTTTCTTATTGTGATTTGACTGTTTTTACCTTGTATTTCCCCCTCCCTCCCCGACTTTATTTTTTTTCTGATTGTAATGTTGCTGTGGGAATGAGAGGGAAAAGCGGATTGGGTGGGCGAGGGAATAAAATACTATTTTTACTGCCACTCCTACTTTTCATTTTTAAAATTTTTCTTTTTGTCCCTTTTTAGTTCCTGTGAATGCAATAGTAAGTATAAACCAAGTGGCAATTTGTTTCTTATTATTGGAGTGGATAGTTTTGACATCTTAAACTTAAGCTCAGTAGAGGATATCCAAAATAGACCTAGTCTGTTTTGAGACAGCTCCCGTTGTCGGGATTTACCATCTCTGCCAGTCACTAAGAATATTGTAAGCAGTTTTTGGGGGATGCTGCAGATGTAGGCAAAGCATCCAGTCCACAGCCACAGGTGTGAGAATGGCATCTTGATAAAAGTGATTTCTTTGTTGCCTGTTTGTGAATGACTGCCATTTTCAGCCAATGCTTTTTCCCTGCTTCGGTAGGTAACTCTTCTTTTGCTGTTTGTAAATAGTGACCAAACGTGTTCTTTTGGGTTTTTTGTTTTTCTTTTGTTGAGTTCTTTTGGATCTGGTTTATGGGGTGATGACTTTGCAATCCCCCTCTGTGTGTTGTGGTTTTGGGGTTTTTTTTTTTCTGTTTTGGTTCTTTTTGTCTGGGGTTCAGCCAATACACTGAAAATGGCAGGCATTTAAATATATATATAAATATATATAAAAAGTGTTCCTAATTCCTGAGTTACTAGTGAAATGAATTTGACAATTGTAATAAAAAAATGTTTCAACCCTTTTAAATAAGGTGTGTACTATTTTGGTCTGTAATATAGAACAACACTTAGTCAATTTTAAGTGATGAGAAACGACTTCCACTTGTGCTATATACTTTGAAAATTTTTACAAACCTAAATACGGGAGACAGTACAGCATGTAGTGTAGAAGGTTTCTTTTCATACACGCAAGCACGAAATACTAATACAAAATTGTATTTTCTTACCTAGTGGAAGTCAGTAAAATGACTGAAAATACCTAGTGAATGTACAGTTTTACTTTCATATCCCTCTTTAAAATAGCTTTAGAAGTGACTTGTATTTCCTAGTCAATATTTCATCTGTATAAATACATTTGCAAGTTTTTTTTCCCAGAAGAGCCAAACTTTGAGTTTTATGTCTGTTTGTCATTGATGAATTTCAATAAATCTTTTTATACAATTTTTTTTTTGTGGCTTATTTGAGTAACATAGGCCACTGCGAATGAACTGCATACCTTTTTAAAAAGGCATTTCATGGTAATCTATTCTGTTGAATTCCCTGGTATTTTTAGTAGTCGCTTGATACGTTTTCTTCTATAAATTGCTCTAAGTCATGGTTGGGTGAAAGCAAGGAAGATATCTCCAGTTTAAAAGAAATGGCGGTATGCTATCTCTCTTTCACAACGTTTAAATTGCCAATAAGGTGACTCTTATACTTTAGCATGTTAATTTTTGCTATCAGTGGTCTGTCCTCACCATATTAATTCAAGCCCAAGAGAGAGAGCCTTTGGCTTTCTACTGATTGTTTTAGTTACCAGGGCTTTACGTGTTAGTTGCTAGGCTAGTCTGTTTAGCAATATTGGTGTGGTTTTTGTTTGCTGATGAACGAGATGACGGTTCCTAGAGGTCGTCCTTTGTTTCTTATTGGAGATCCAAAGCAAAATCTCCTTGTTTTCCTTTTTTGAGTAACTAGTTCTGTACCATAGATGCGTGGTGTACAATATTCATAAAAGGGGT